ACACACACATACACAAACACATACACACACAAGCACCCACGCATAAACACGCATGGGCTGCAGTGTGCGCTTACTATGAGAACTTAATTGTTTAATAACTTTTTTTATGGACGTACGATCTTCATGAAACTTTCAGATTATGATTATAACATGGATATGCATGTAATTGCCAAAGCACAAGTCTCTAGTATTTGAAATACGCTTTTTACAAAAGTGAGGGTGAGGGGGTGAATTTAAGGGTGGGGGGTAAATTTTAACAAAAACCGAAATTGTATAAATTGCATATAAGCATACATTAAAAATTTGGAGACTCTAGCAATAAAGGTGTAGAAGATATAATTTTATAACTGGTTTTCGATAAGGTTTTTTATCGATAAAAAAAGATCGGGATGAGTTATCGATTTTTAATGATAAACTTGATATGCGCGCTGTAATTACGGACATTTTAAAAAAAATTTGAAGTCTCTAGCTCTTATATCTTCTGAAATCGACGCGTTCATACATACGGACGGACGGACGGACGGACGGACGGACGGACGGACGGACGGACGGACGGACAGACAGACGGACAGGGCCAAATCGACTCAGCTCGTCGCCCTGATCAAGAATATATATACTTTGTGGGGTCTGCCACGCCTCCTTCTGCCTGTTACATACTTTTAACAAAACCATTATACCCTGATTTCCCATTTTCAATGGGTTCAGGGTATAAAAAGGAAAAAAACACACGTAGGCTTAAATAGAAGAAGTGCGTGACGTGTTGTATGAAAATATGAAAAATAGCTAAAACGAAAATAGTTTTTCCGACAGAACAGCAGCAGCAGCAACAGATGTCAGCCCAGCGTTCGCTCTCACTCGCTCGATCGCGCTCTCTCCCTCTCTCTGTGTGCCGTTTAACCTCTGCGAGAGAGTTGGCAATGTGTAAAAACACAATTTCCACACGCATTTTCCTTTCCTCTTTATTATTTATTTTTACAACTGCTCGTCAAATGGGTTAATAGTGGAAAAACTCAATGTGTGTGCGTATGTGTCAGTGTGTGTCAGTGTGTGTGCTCGGTTTTTGGGCCATGCCGATGATGTTCTTGCGGCTGATGATCATCGTCTCTCAAGCTCTTTATGATGTTGGCAAGTGAGCGTGTTGAGCAGGTACGAATGATAACCAGTTTGACCGGATGGTCCGGCACGCTTAGAATATACGATTACACACAAATCGCATATATATGTATATATATAAATCTTGTTGAATACAAGTATATAGAAAGCGCTATGGGCATTACGTAATGCCAGCAAAATGAGCTGCTTGCTACAGTTGGCCCGACTTGCTGCTTTAATTGCTTCTCATGAAGATCAGCACGAATGGCCGGCTATTGCAGCGCCATCTGGCGGCACTTAATATGTCCTCACACTTCCCAGTGAATATGTCAACGCCTGCTAACGTCTTTTTGGAAATGCCTCTTTCAAATTTCCTCTTGCCAATTATTTGACAATTGCTATATTCATTTGATTAATTTCTTCTTCGTATATAAACGGCTGAAAGTAAAAGTTTAGCAAATTCACTTAAGCTTAACAATTGTTTAATTGCACTTGAATGATTTAATTGTGAGCTATACACAATTACTTAAAAACTAATTAAACTTAAGTGCGCTTAGTATTACAAAACGTGAATGAATGCACGGTAATTAAATGAGAGAGAATGATTTATAATCATCAAACTTCATTGCGAAATGTGTAAATCAGTGCATGATAGTCGTAAATATGAGTGAATGAATCTTTGAGATATCTGCATTGAGCGAGTAAATTTGAAGATTTACTGTAAATGCAGGAAAATATCAATGGCAAGGAGAGAGAAGCAATGAATTAATGTAACCATGTATTACCGGACAGGTGGATTGACGGGCGTCTATAATAATTTATTTTCTTATTCACAGTAATAATTGTTGCTTGATCTGCTACAAAATTGTATTCACTTAATATTCATTTCAAATAATATACATCGTTTTTCCAATTGTGCCAACGCCCACTTATGTAAATTTGTATATCAATATATACATATAAATAATGCATTTCAGAGATCAGCATGCATATAATACATATGCATATTTTTGGATCCAAACTTTGGTTGACCAACAACGCATTTCTATATTCCACTTTAGAGAATCAATTTCTGTATGAAGCTTTCTATGCCAATGATATCAAATCGATTTTTGTAGGTTACTGCAGCCCATTCATATTACAGGTCGCCTTATTTCTTACACACAGAAATTACAAAAAAAAGAAGAGAAAGATTATGGAAAGTAAGTAATTAGAACGGGGCGTATGCGTAATAGAGTCGCCCATAGTTCAGTTCACAATGGACTCGCGTTCCCCTCTCACTCGTATCGCTCGACTCGAACTCTACGCCTCTGTGATTCAGCGTGACATACTTAGGTTTTTGTTGTTGTTGTTGTCACTGGCTGCTGCTGTTTTTCACTAATGTGCATCACACACTACACACACACACACACACACACTCGCAGTCGCATAGGTATATATAATATATATACTCTATTACTGCTGCTGCATAGCGGCGCAATGCGTGCACAGCTATTTATAGAACGCCCAAGTGTTGATATATTTTTCAATCATTTGCCATGCGTTGCTAAAGTGGGCAATATAATATTTTACGTCTAGAAAAGATTTTGATCTCAAAAAATAGATATAAGATAATTTAGTTTATGCATGCAACTATATATAGATTTATACAAATATAACACAAATTTAGAGTCGCTTAAGATTAGTCAAAAGCTAAATTTATTTTTAGAAATTTATATAATTAAAATAGTTAGGGCATTTCATAGTCGACTGCCCGAAGAGACATGGACAGGTATTCTACTTGCTTGTTTATTTTTGGCTTTTAGCACTTGGTCGCTAATAAAATTATAATAATAATAAAACTGCTATTCAATATGCACCGCACAGATGTGGGTAACGCGTGGGCGTGGCAACCTTAAATTCTATTGTACTGCAGTAAGTTGAAAAGGCTGGGCACATGCGTCGTGGGTACGCTTGTATGTGCGTATATACTTTGTATACATGTATGTATATATATATACCCATATGAATCTATGTATGTATTATATAAAACACTTACATATGTATATTTGGCCCATTTGCATTCGAAAAGTATTGCTCTGGCTCAGACCAATGAACGTGACAATCGAGAAATTCTGGCAACCCAATTCGATATGCTTCAAATGCCCAATAATCAAATATGTATAATATTTATGGCAATCAGTGTTAAGCGTCCAGCGGAAACAGTGCAAATGATTCATGCTGCTCGAATAGTATTTCTCGATATTGAAGTTGCACTTCAAGTACGACACTTTAGATAAGTGATGATTGGCCTTAAAGAACAATGGGCTCAATAATTGAAAGCCATATGCAAAGATCTTTTAATAATTAAATAATTTTTACTCTTGTTTTAAAATAAATATGAAAGAAACTCTTTTTTTAATTTGATATATAATAAACTAAAGTGTAAAGATGTATTCAAATTTGTTTGTGAGCTTTTCACTGTTGCTGACAGTCCTTTGTCAGTATAGAAGAATGCCGATCACAACTGATAGTCACACATAATGAATAAATATATGTATATAAATAAATAAATATATATATTGACATATATAAATTCATTTACATAATCGTCGGCATTGTTTCGAGTCAAGTGCAAAATAAATATGTACATATATAAAACCAGACATTTCAGGTCCATTCAACTGGGCAGCTTCAACTATTGTATCTGGTATCTCATCTATGCCATGTGCGTGCGTGCGTGTGTATTGTCTCCCTGTCTCAAAAGTTCTCCAAACTTGTCTGTTGTAACTTTGTAAAACTAGTTTCTTTTCGTGTGGGCGTGCGCGAAACAAAAAGGAAAAGGAAAAAAGCTAAAGCAACAACAACTTTTGCTGAGAGTTGCGAACATATGTTGGCATCGTCAACTGCTGCTTCTCCATTGATTTTTGTGGGCAGCACTTCAGAAGCGTAACAGCTCCGCGATGCTGCTCCGTTCTGCCGGCCTCAGGCGGTGTAGCACAAATAACGCATACGCCACGTTGATGGCAGCAACACATGTTTGCATAGCCAAACACGACTATCAAATGCCCTGTATTAATTTTGAAAGTTTTGGTAAATATATATTCAAAGTCCTTTGCCTGTATAATATACATTGAAATATAAAATCAGTATGCCTTAGACCATTATGAAGTACATAGGATCCAAGTTAGGAATATTTTAGTATAGGGTATATTTCCAGTGTCTCTCGAGCGTATGTGATAGTGTGGCTGTGCTGGCTCCTGTAGGAGGCAGCCGCAGCCTCATTGATTTTTCACGCTCGACTGCGGCTGCTGATGTCCTTGGCTGTTATTTTTGCTCCTTTGGCGCCGTTATATTGTTGTGTTTGTTTGTTTTTATAGCCG